TTCCATTCCCTCCCCCCCCCCCCCGCCCTTTCTCAAAAATCCAAACGGGGCCCCCAAGGGTTGTTGTCAGCTTCTATCCTGGCCTCACGGAGACCAGAAATAAACTAGTCCAGCGACCTTGGACGGGATTCAACTTCGTTTCCTTGAACTAATTGCTCGAAACGCCATCGCCAGCATTACACTGGTTCAGTAACTGAATGTAACCCCAGTCACATCGAACAGCTGCTGCTCTTTCCTTGCGCACCTGCCATTTTAAAGCAGCCAAGCTCCCTCATTAGACGAACCGTTCTTCTCCTCTAAAAAAAGCAAACCCCACATTTTCTTTTAAAAAAAAACCCACACACCAAGATTTGCTTAGGGGAGCCCGCTGTGGTACCCGAGATTCCTTTGCGCCAAAGACCATGCTTAGGACCTGTGATGCTGCAGACTTTCCAGCTACACAGCACTCGGGGGGTACTGCGGGCTCTCCGAATCCATCCCAACAAGCAGCCGAACTACGGATCACCCTCGTGCCCAGGGGAGACCAGGCGGGGAAGCCATAAACCATTTCTCCTTTCCCCTCCTCCGGCTCGCCATTGTTCCCGCCCCTTCGTCTCGGCTTGCTGCTTACAGCGGCCGCCGTTTTTATCCCAGCCCCTTCCCCTTCCGCCGTCGCCTCCATCTCAGGCTTATTTGGCGCCTCGCTCTACCCTCCCCGAGGGCCGCCGACGCCTGTCCATCTCTGTGGGAAGACTCCCAAGGCCCCCGGCGCCATGTCCCGCTACACGCGGCCTCCCAACACCTCGCTCTTCGTCAGGAATGTGGCGGACGCCACTAGGTGAGAGGCCTGAGGAGGGAGGCGGCCTGCCGAGAGGGAGTGGCGGCCATGAGGGGCCCGGGCCTGGGGCGGCGGCGGCGGCGGGCGGCCCTTGCGGGGGAAGCGAACCCCATTTCGGGTGCATAACGGTTGCGGGGCCTGAGCGTAGAGCATGGGCAGTCATCCTTTTAGGGGCGCGTTTGGGTTTTTGAGAAAGTTTTTTTGGGGGGGGAGGAATCCATGGGTGAACCACCGCCGTGAGGGAAAGCTCAGGCAAACATGGCTGCGGCGGGGTGCGGGCAGTTCTCAACCTTTGCAACAAAAGACCCATTTCATAGAAAGGCAAACTGGTGTGAGGTTGCCGGGCAGGAGACGCTACTCTGAGCCCGCCATTTCCCGCTCCAGCAAGGCGCCTCGAGACAGAAAACGAGTCGCGCGGAATAAGTGCTTCTAAAATTATTTATTTTCCTCCGATAGGAGGAACACCTTCAGATCACTGCCTGGCAATACAGCAGGCCCCCTTAATGCTGCCAGCATGCGCACAACTCCCCACTTCCCCGCATACATTGCTAGGATTTGCATCCACGGTCACAAATTATGCTGCCAGCAAAAATACATTGACTCAGAGCACAAACAACCGGCCTTCACACATGCCTAACTCTTTCTGGCTCTCTTTATAACTTTCCTAGTGCCCCCCCCCCTTGCTACCCTGCTAGCATCTCTAGCTCCCTTTTGGCGCCCCTCCCAAACCTTTTTCTCTCCTTTGGCACCTCGTTGGCTTTTCTTGCTTTCCCCGGACTTTTGTACACTCCCCCTGCTTTTTAATCCCCTTGTGCCCTCCACTGAATTACAACATGCACTTTTCTTCATGCTGTCTTCCCCCCTCTCCCTTTCCTACCTCTGTCATGACTTTTTAACCCTGCGTTTTTCAATATACCTTTCAAAAGTTGCATTTTGTTAGGTCTGTATTTTTAAAAGCAATGAAAGGGCCTTGTCAAATAGCAAGGAGGTGCAAGGATTTCCAAGGCAATGTAATATTAATGGGTACCATGTTGCCAACCCTGGATGAAGAGGTAGACAAAGAAGCTAGATTTAGGTCACCAAAATAGATAAGAGGGAGAAGGAAAAATACCTTATTTGGGCTTCTGGGCTTTTTATTGGCTCTGCTCAAATATCTTGGCAAGAGGCAGAGGAAACAAAAGTATCTGGTGAATGTTTGCACTTAACAAAGAGTGCTTTAAGAGTATAATCTGCTACATTTCCCCAACAATTTAAAAGCAAAATACCTTTTTGTTGAATTTTTAAATTGTAGCTGTTTTTAGCCACCATAAGTGCTGTACTAAGAAAAGTGCTGTTTATACCAGAAAATAAATACTTTATATAAATATCACAAAGGCACCTCTTTACCTGTTTGTTTTTCCATGTATGTGGCAACTTCCATGTTTGTCATGGGAAAACTCATTGTCACAGGGGAAAGGAACTGACTGATGCAGCCATATTTTTCAGCTATCTGGGATATGGTCCTGACTGCCTACTTCAGATGCATGAGGAAGAAGTTGGATTGGAGCCCAGATAGTTTGTTGCTAGGGGCTGTGAAAGGTCTTCATAAATTTCTTTCTAGCAATCTTTGCTTAGTGTGGAAGCCTTAAATTGCAGCTATAATTGATGCGTTTTAGTAAAGCCTCACAATCATATTAGGATTCTGCAAAAGCAAGGATTTCATTGTGGTTAGCTATGTCCACCTTATAAATGCATGTGGCCATTTTATCCTCCATCAACCAATGGGATGATGGCTAAGAGTCCTCAGAGTTGCCATAGACCATCCAATGACCAATTGGTTTTTAGGCCACTTTAGTCTGCTCCTGACTTCCTCAGTCCAGGTGCTGTCCAGATGTTTTCATTCACAACTCTCATTGTCCAGATGTTTTGATTCACAACTCTCATTGTGTGCTAGGCAGAACATTATTGGCTGGGGATAATATGAATTGTAGTTCAACACTTCTGAATGGCACCAGGTTAAGAAAGATTGGTCTGTTCTATCTATCAGATATCTAAATGCAACCCATTTCTGCCTGAGATACTTCAACAACACAGTCCTGTGTATTTGTAAGTGCTAATATTATTTAAAGAGAGTTGCTCCGTAGTAAATTTAAGATTTCAGACCTATGATTGGAAACCTGAGGGCAGAGATTGTTTCAGAGACTGATTCATCATTGATGTTAATAAGCTAGTCTGGGAGCCTTCAGAATAAAAAAGTAAAAGAAAAGGAAACAGTGAACAGTAACTAGTGACTGAACCTGGACCATTTGTATGACAACCGTGTACTTGTCAGCATCAGTTCTCATCCTGTTGCAGAGGGTATGTAACTCTCCAGAGAACACAGAGCACAGGGACTTGTTGGGAGGTTCACTAGAAATTAACACCCGCCCCATTTACCAGTGGTTAGGACTTAGGATCCAGGACATTATATTGTGCCATTAAAGGGGCTCTCTTTTGATCTTTCATCAAAACCATTTATATTCATTGGACCACGACTGCATTAATGCTGCCTTGTTAAGGCCAAACTGAACGTTACTTAGAAGTTGGAGATAATTGCTGTATCTATTTTGTTATTCAAAATTATTTGCAGGGGCAGATTAACCCTTTCCCCATTTGTAATTGCACTCCTGCTGGATACTGGCACTTTGCCATATTAAAAAAAATTAGTTGAAAGAAATAAGGTCATTTTGGCCATACAAATTGTGGTTTTAGAGCCTCAGATGGTTCGATATGATTTACTGGGCCCTTGTACCTGTTGATTTAAGAAACAACTGCTATGGAATCATTAACTGAAGTAAGGAATGATAAAGCAACCTCCACTCAGAGAATTCCTTTTAATGCACTGTCTGGGCATACCCATGGCAGAATTCAGCTCATGTATATGCGAAATAGTTAAATCTACACTACTAAAGTTCTGTTTAGTAGTGGTATAATCCCAGGCATTGTCTCTAGTACAGTTTTTTTTATTTTGACTATGGCAATATACTACAGCAAAATATATATATTTCAAAATAAAACTGCACCGTAAAAAGTTCTTCTCATGTTCTCTGAAATTTAAATGGGAATGAGTAAAAGTGTGAGGAAACTATATCTCTATATTCACTTTTCCATGCTATTCACATTAATAAACCCCTACTATATCCATTTCTAAATTTTGTTTAGAACCTTAATCCCTTTTCAGTGCTCAATAGTTTTTGTTTGTGAGATAGTTGATATACATTAAAGCATATTTAAGCTCTGAAAGCTGCAGATAAACTCCCAGCCATCTCAATAATTATATGCTTGAAAAGCTCCCCCCCTTACAACTACCATTTCCCCAGACAGACAAAGGACTGAATAAAGAGTTGTTATGCTCTGAAGAAATGAATAAGAAAAAAATGGATTATATAAAGTATCTCTTTGATATTTTAAAACACAAGATAAGTCTGATAGATGATGCAGTTGCTAAAGTAGGTACCACAATATGGAAACACTCATTTCTTTGCCTTATTTCTAAAACACTTCAGGCCTGAGGATTTGCGCCGTGAATTTGGTCGATATGGCCCTGTAGTAGACGTATACATTCCGCTTGACTTCTACACAAGACGCCCAAGAGGATTTGCTTATATACAATATCCTTTATGTCACTGTATTTTTGTTGAGATGCATTGTTGTTATTGCGTCCTAATTTAATGTATTTATTTCTTTGTCTCAGAAAATGTAAAGCAGTCCACTGTGGCTGGCAAGCACCCCAAAGTTTGAATGAACCTGGTTAGATAGAGTCCAAGCAGGCAAGCCAAAAGACACCTTAAAGTTCAAGCTTCAAGGAATAAAGAGGGAGGGTGGAAAAAGATAAAAAGAAAACTGGAAGAGGGGAAGGCCTTTTTCAAGGAAAAGACAAAGCCACAACACCAAGTTAAGGCTTCGGCTTTCCGACATTTGCTCAAGTTCCAAAGTCAAAGCCAAGTCTGATTTGGTTGGTTCTACGGCCCTTGTCAAGTCCATCTAGCAAGCCCTAAAGAGTAAAGGTCAAGATCAAGTGACATGGAGGTAACTGCCAAAGTTTCGTTTTGTATCTTATCGCTCAAGCTCTTACTTTTCAGTTAACGATTTGCTTGTTTATAATTGTTTTTCTTTTAAATGTTGCTTCCTTAAGCTGACACAAGAGAACTGTATGCAAATATTTGTTCATTTTCTTATGAATCATTTCCCTAACAGAATAGATTTGAATGGAATATTGAAATATGCCAGTTGTTTCGCTAATCTTGTAGGGTTTTCTTCTTCTTAACATTGACAGTTTTGAATACTGGTAATAAAGGAAGAAAGTGAAAAGAAAATTGGATGTTTATGGAAATGAACAATGTTTGTAGTATAGCAGAATAATGAGCTCAATTCTTTACAACTTCTATATATTTGCTGATTAGAATAATGCTAATTTTAAAGGCCCTTAAAGTAAGAAATATACCTTAAATTCACATATTCTGATTAAATGATATACTACAGATGTAGGGGGCTCCAGAGTGCTTGGAGGTTTTCTTCTTGCTAAGACTTTGCTATTGATATCAGTGGAGGAGCAACTCTGTTTCCTTGTTCACATGCCCTTGAAATGGAGTGGAAGCTATTATCTGCAGAAATATGTGCACTTCAGTGCACATACAAATTTCCTGATGTTTGTACATGTCTAGACAATATTTTAAAGGCATTCCTTGTGTCATATTTTTTTGCATAGCATATAAATTGTTCCTATTTTGTGGGAGCCTGGATACAACAGTGCTTGCTGTGATGTGCTGTGATTTTACCATGGCTGAAATCCTGTTGCTTAGTGTTGTAAGTTACAAATGGAGTAGACCTACTGAATCAGTGTAACTTATGGAGGTGTTTACTTCACCAAATTCCACTGGTTCAGTGGGCCTACTTTAGTTGTGATTTACTACTAGAATACAGGCAGAGAGTGAAGAAGAGTTATACGTTCCAAATAGTACTGATTCCAGGCTTCTAGTAGCCACAGCTGTGTCCCTTCAGCTTGAAAAAGGCATAATTTTCAAAGAGGTGCAGCTATATCTAGTTATAGCAATACCTGTCTTGTACATTCAAACTTTCATAGGTTCTTCATTCAGAGTATTGACATGGTTAGCATACCTTACCTGTTCTGTAATCCTATTGAATGACTGAGTTTCCCATCCTCTGAAGACATGGAGAAACATGTAGCATACACATGCTAGTGAGCTAAGCTACTCATATTGCCCAGCATTTGCCTATGAGTGCTTGAGAATGTATACCTTCCTTTCACATTTTTGGATAAAATATTTTGCATGTGCCTGCAGAATGATGATGACATTATCAGACGGGGTGATTTTCAGTAATTAAAGACTTACTCTTTCTGACCTATAGCTGCCATGACTTTCCACAATGAAACAGATTACCCAGAAGTAGGAGAAGCAGCAAGACAGAAAGAGGAAATATCTGATTACTGAAAATCTCCCTCTGTTGATAGTATCATCATCCTTCTGCAGATATTAACTTGCAGAACAGGATTTTGGCCTTAGTATAGTAACAACCATAAGTAGCATATTAAAATAACTCACTTGATTTTGAAAGCATTTCAGTACAGTATTTTGTTCTGTGTTATATGATACAATTTTTTGCTTTGTGCATGTTTAAAGCGTCCTTAACAGACAGTCATGTTTGAAGATGTTCGTGATGCAGAAGATGCTCTTTATAACCTCAATAGAAAGTGGGTATGTGGCCGGCAAATTGAAATACAGTTTGCACAAGGTGATCGCAAAAGTAAGTGAATATAAGCATGTCACTTACTTATTCTGAAAAATAGTTTTTTGAGAAAGCACTCTTTCATGTCACTTACTGTAGAAGGAAAACAAAAATAAATCACAGAATTATAAAAAAATTATAAAACCCAGTGGGTGGCCGGATGTTTTTAGATAAGTTAAATAAATCACTCTATGTGTGCTTTAAATGTAAGATACTGCTTTTGTTTGTTTGTTTGCAATGTTCTAGTTCTGTTTTAAATTCTAGCACCAGGTCAGATGAAATCCAAAGAGCGTCGCCAGTGTTCTCCAATGGATTATAGAAGGTCAAGAAGCCGGAGCCGAAGAAGGACACGTAGCAGAAGCTCTTCATGGGGCTGGAGCAGGAGACACTCTGACAGTTTCAAAGAGTAAGTCTATATCTGATGTGATGATAATTCAGAGTATTTTAAAAATGCCATTGATTTAACAGAATGAGGAATTTACCATGCATCTACTAACACTTTTATATAACCTGTCTTAAGAAAACATTTGTCAACAGTTGGGATGTAACCAAAAAGATAAATATATGTTCTTTTAATATTTTATTTGCCTTCCTCCTTTAAGGAGACAATGATCCATCGCATTCTTTAAAAAGTCAACTTACCGACTGCTGACTTAAACAATGATTGTCCCATCACTTTTCATGGGGAAGCTAGTCAAATGGTTGATGGTTGACCAGCTGTAGTCATTCTTGAAGGATCCTGATAGTTTGGATCCATTTCAGTTGAGGTTCAGGCTGTGCCATTGGATTGAGACAGTTCTGATTGCCCTGTTAATGGGAGGCTGACTGGGGGAGTGTGACCCTGTTAGTGTTCTTGGATCTCTTAGTGGACTTTGATAACATTGATCATGATATCCTACTAGACCATCTATTTGGGACTGGAAATTCAGCAGTCTGTTCCCTGATGACCGGTGCCAGGTGTGCAGCTTGAGGATGCTGTTTCATCCCCATGGGTGCTACAGTGTGGTGTCTCGCAGGGGTTGATTATCTTCCCATTGCTGTTTAACATCTATATAAAGCTGCTGGGGGAGGTCTTTTGGAGATTTGGAGTGTGTTGCCAATAGTATGCTGGTGACACACAACTCTTCTGTACAGATAAAGCTGTACGGACCCTGGAGCACTGTTAGGCAGCAGTTATGAACTGGATGAGGGCTAACAGGTTGAGATTGAATCCTGACAAGCAAATTAAAACCTGGCTTTTTGCCCAGGTGTTTGTGAACCTTGCTGTTTTTTAATTTTATTCACAATGTAACTTCATGTCAGCATTCTGGGATTTGGGTTTCTGTCTAATGTTCCAGTTGTTCTTTGCTGTCTTGAGATCTAGAGATTCCTGTTGGATAGGTTGCTTCAGTGTGGGTTTTGTCTGTTTTTATTTGGGTTGTACACTTATGTTAATTTCTTTTAGCCATCCAGAATAGTGGCTTACCACTTGATGGGCAGGGTACAAGTCCAATAAAGAAATAAACAAACAAGTAAGTGAGTTTCAATAGCCCTGGTTCCTTTTAAAATGATTTGGACACCAGGTGAGCTATCCTAACACGTGTAAATTAAGGCATGTATAGAATCCTAGAAGTGACTGGATTAAATTCACCTTGCTGGTCTCCTTTTAGTGGCCCCAAACTTGTTTCACAACAATGCTTTACTGGGACATAATAAATGTTATCTGGGGTAGTAACAACACACAGAAAATCTGCAGTTATTTATTCTACCATTTTTAAATTATTTAGCCAGAGCAGAATCATGAATCACTTAGACTTTACCAGAGGATGTTCCAGACTCAGTAATTACACTGGAATGCAAAAATATGTAAACACTTTTGGAGGAGACTGGTTTTTAAATAACTTTTTAAAATAAAAGAGCAGGAGGTTTTTAGCACATAGTTCTTCAAAAACAGAAGAAAGTGGCTTAACTAAGCAAATTAAGCAAAAATTACCTGGTAAGGGTAAACACCATATCTAATACTCTGGATGATTTGCAGGTCAAGGCATAGACGGCATTCTTACAGCCAATCTAAGTCTCGCTCAAAATCTCTTCCAAGGCATTCCAGCTCACCAAGACGATCAATCACGCCCCAAAGGAATTCTGGTTCTAGGGGAAGATCACGATCAAAGTCAACCCAGAGGAGTTCAAAATATGCTGAAAAGTCGCCGCCTAGTTCCCATCGAAGGCGTTCCAGTTCAAGAACAAAGTCACGATCACATCTAAAACGTTCAGGGTCACCGGTTCGATCCTTGTCTAAATCTCCACGAAAGCATACTAATTCCAGTTCTCGTTCACACTCTCGGAGTTTCTATCAGAGAAATAGTAACCAGTCAGTATCTGAAGAAGATTAATATCTTTATTTGTTTAGTACAGTTTTTATGAGCACAAAATAAAGAGAACAAAAATTGTCCACAGCTTATCTGCAATGAAAGGTGAATTAAAGAACTTGCTGTATTGTCCTTTGGTCTATGCTGCAAAGTGCATGGACCTTTGAAAGGTTTTCTGTTACATTTAAAGAAATCTGGCCTACTTCTAGTCCATTTACATGTAAAGCTCACTTATGCTTTTATTTAAGCTCCATGCATCAGTGCAAGTTGGCACACTTCTTCACATTGGTGGAGATTCAGGGCCTTGTGCACCAGATTGTTTCCCTTTTCAGACAGAAGTGTCATTGGTCCCTTAATCCAAATCTTTTGGGCTGCCAAAATCCTATGGTAGTAAACTAGCCCTTGCCTAGAAGTGATACACAGGTCATTCCCTGTGTTTAGTGCCTGTGTATGGGGGTGGGAGGTGGGGAAGGAATCCATATATGTCCTGTTTATCCTGATGAGAACATTACAGCAGACATTTGCCCTGCAAAGATATACCTGGGCTAGGCCTGAGCTGCCCAACAAACAGTTTTTTTGCTATTGATCTTACGCAGACTGGATTGGATAAGGCTGTTTTGTTTCCCATTGTTTTGGTGCCTTTTGTTGTGGGAGTGAGGCGATCTGACTCCAATTGAAGACAGCCATTCTTGGATGATACTCAGATAATTGGAACTTATTATTGAATTTTTTTTTTCAAATTAAAGCAGTCTGTTTTGTAGATTAGAGGAGTATGTTAACAGGGTAGTATAGAAAAATTTGTATAACATTGAGTGTTCTGAATTCAATCTGATATATAAATGTCCTGATTCAGAAATCTGTGAGACATCATAATTGTTATTATTTTGGATTTCTGTTTTCTATGCCCAATTCATAAATAAGAAGTGCCAAGATATTATTTCTTTCCTGTAACTGATAAAGTTGTATATATGAATTTCTGGATTGGGCATAGGACCAGAAAAGAGATAGAATGGACTGGGTGTTTGGAGCAAACATGCAGCAGAAATGGTAAAAGAAACTTTACCACTCCATATGGGAGTTATCATAACTTTGAGTTATCATAACTTTATGGTAGTCAACCCATTTGACTGTTCCCTATGTAATAAAGACCTTCACTAAAAATAGAAAATGAGCTCAGTAGGCAAATCTTGCTTCGTGATGTTCTCGCATTCTGTTTCTACTGGGTCTCTAAGATAAGAGAAAATGAGAAATATTATTACCAACACATTCTGGTATATATGCAGAAAGATTACTGTAAAGTGGCCTCTTGCGCATGCAGAGTAGTAGATGATGGTCAGGTTGTCAATCACTGGAGTGAGACTAATGCTTATGAGAAAGGAGGTCAAATATGTATGTTGGAGAGTTTAAAAATAGGAAGTGATTGGTTATATAAGGTCATTTGTGAAACTAATATACATTGTTAAGCACATGATTTTCATGTGTGCTGGAATGTTTTGTGACACTATCCTAAGCAGTAAACTTTGTAGTGTAAAACCTTCATTTTATTATGTTCTATATTTTAAAAATACTGTATTAGGCCAGTATCAAAGGCACCTTCATGCATTTTAAATTCTGTGCCCCTAAAACTAGATGACAATTGGAACAGCTGAATATAACATTGTTAGCTTGTTTAACTGAAATAACAGAGTTTTCTGAAAAGGTTCTGTATTTTAAAATATAGCATCTTTGCATTGTGTAGTAATGTTTCAGAAAATATAATTTGTATTTAAATGAATGATAGCTGTGATGTCTGTTACATGGTACAAGTACTGCATTGTATTACAGAACTGTAGTTTTGGTAAAACCAAGTTTCACTTCATGAGCAATATACAATTTTGTGTTGAGAGTAGTACTATTGTTCTTTCATAACTTAAGATGTTATTTTCAATAAAACATACAACATTTGTTTTCACTAGCTTTAAAAAAAACGTTGCTTCCATAACAGTCTATAAAGGTACGTTGGTAATTTCCATCAGTCCAGATAGGTGGGGTATAAATCAAATAAATAAATAAATAAATAAATAAATGTATTTTACATAAAATAAATACATTTTTTGTGTTGGCAGGAGGCGATCTGCACAAAACAGTACAGTGGCCTAGATTGCAAGAGCTTTAAAGCAATCACTCTGGGATTGACATTAGAATGGGACATTCAGTTCATTGTAACTAGATACACACTGTGGTTAAAAAGTTTTATAAAATATTAATAGCATCAGCTATACACTGTGGAGTTCAGTATCTTGGACTGTGAGAAATTATTGCTCAATGACAATGGCAATTTAGGATGGGACTGCTGTGAAAAAGACAAATTGCATACTGGGCTTAATTACAAAAAGGATTGAAAATAAGACTGCCAGTATCGGTTAATAAGTTATAATTATTAAGCATTAAGTCCGTTCTTTCAGCAACCATTCCCATGCTTTTCTAGGTATAAAGAAGTAGCTTAGTAGTCCCTCCTGGTGGCACTCTGAGACAATGCAGCCAGCCATTGCTGCATTAGGCTGGCACTTGTCCCAGGACGTATAGAGTGGAATTGAACTCCCAATGCAGTCGCTAATTACACTTATACAAACACACTTTAAAACACTATGTATAGTCTGCTTATGACAGACAGACACACAGAGGGGAGAGGGAGGGGAAGAGAGGAGGCAAGTAGGGTAGGTATAGAGTGAGAAGGAGACAGAGATAGAAACCATGTAGGAGAGAGAAAAAGAGAAACCAGAGAGAGAGGAAGCCAGAAGCCAGGCAGAGGAAAGAGCGCGCAGAAGGAGAGAAAGAGGCCCCAAAGGTTAAGAGACGAGCCTCACAAAGAGAAGGGGAGAAATTATCCAAAGAGAAGCAGAGAGAGATGCCACGAAGGGGAGAAATTATCCAAAGAGAAGCAGAGAGAGATGCCACGAAGGGGAGAAATTATCCAAAGAGAAGCAGAGAGAGATGCCACGGAGAAAGAGAAGGGAGAGAGGAAGCAGGGAGGGGGTGGAGCTGAAGAGAGAGATGAGGCATGCAGGGGAGGGGGGACACTGGGAGAGAGAAAAGGGGTCAGCCACAAAGTGAAGGAAGGAAGGTGGGGGCAAAGAGAGGAGCGGAAGAATAGATGGGAGAGGGGAGGGAAAATCCAAGGAGGGAGAGAGATGAAACAATAGAGGAAGAAAAGCCTTGAGGGAGGGAAAGGGGAGATGCCACAAAAGAAGGGAGAAACAAGAATCTGAAGCAGCTCTTTCTCCTGCATCTAGTTTTCTGTTTGTTTTGTTTTCTTAGGCATTTAAACAAAGCAAGCCTATTTGGGTGTATGTATACTAAAGTCAGCCATGTTCATTTACAGGGCTAATTCCCAACTTGACCTGCAATTCTACACCTATGAGCTCAATAGTTGGGTCTCTTAGAAGTAAATTGGCCTTACTTCTAGGCAAAGGGTTATATTAGGGCTTCACGGCTTCTGGAAGAATAAGTATCACTGAACTTAAGTGCAGTCTTGTATGAGCCTATCCAGTAGGAAGCCCTACTGAATTTAGTGAGACTTAATAAGTTTTATGTGTTTGTACATCTTGTACATGTGGTTGTACATCTACCATGTTTCCCCCCCAAATAAGACAGATTATATTAATTTTTGCTCCTAAAAGGGCATTAGGGCTTATTTTCAGGGGATGTTTTATTTTACAGTCATGTCATCTTCTGGTTTCTGCACAATGGTAGAGGGCGGGGTTTAACTTAACTAGGGCTTATTTTGGGGGTAGGGCTTATATTATGAGCATCCTGAAAAATCATACTAGGGCTTATTTTCAGGTTAGGTCTTATTTTCAGGAAACGGCATATGGTACTATAATCCAGATCTTCCAATGATTTCTTCCATTTCTTTTTTAATATATTTTTTCTCTCTGGGTCCTCTCTTTTTATTTTAAAATATAAAATACATATACTACAAACACATGAAACTTAATACATAAACACAAAATACAAGTGCACCCCTCCCCCTTGTGATCATTATATCTTACATACTTTCACTTATAATGTTCCTTCACCCTTATCCATCCCTCAAGTCCTTCCAAAAATACATATATTCATTGCCCGTTTTTCCCTTTTCCTTTACACAATAGAGATTTTATAAATTCTTCCCATATTTCATTGACTCTGTTAACCTTTATCTCCTTTTTAAACTTAATTTCTGAAGTCAGTTTATTGTTAATTGATATATTCCATATTTTACTGTACCACTCCTGCAGCTGGAATTTTTAAAATATAAGCGTAGTTTGGGGTGTTAAACTTGTTTTCAAAATAACTTCAATCCTTAAAAAAAAAAAGTCCAGTGTATGAATGTGAGATACTGTATTTATATCCGTGATTAAGAATAACAGGAAATGGCCCAAAATTGCCTTACAGTGTTATGTCTGCTTTGCTAGCAAAATTTACATACAGTATTTAGGGCAGTCTTAATGTGTTGGTAACACTAATGTCAGCAAAAAAAAAAAAACGTCCAGTGTATGAATGTGAGATACTGTATTTATATCCGTGATTAAGAATAACAGGAAATGGCCCAAAATTGCCTTACAGTGTTATGTCTGCTTTGCTAGCAAAATTTACATACAGTATTTAGGGCAGTCTTAATGTGTTGGTAACACTAATGTCAGCAGTCAAGATGGTCTGCAGGATCCCTTCTTGTGCCTGCTACCATTCATAAAGACAGGAAGCAAGTGAAAATCTCAGAACCTGACATCTTTTTTCTTTAGTTAACTACTCGCCCAAACACAAAGCGACTGTCATGGCTGTTGAATTACAATAGCAATTGTATTTGGTCTTATATGGAATTAAGCATCACTGAACAAAGTAGTCATTTTTAATGTTAATGTGCATTAATTATACAATAAAACATCATCTCTATTAACCAAATCTTATACACATACAATATGGTCTTCATAAACACACAGTGTGCTTAAGATAGGCTCAATGAGACAGTAATTTCACCGTTACAAAATTACAAACACACTTGAGAAAATGGCTCAGTATGCTGCTTGTTCAAGCCTTTATGATCAAGTCACACAAGTAACAAATAAGTCTGCACCATCTGGTGCATATCTTGGATTAAAGTGGATTCTCTTCAGCAGCCATGCAGTTCAACAGCGTCGTAGAAGAGGCTTTATAAATTTTGTTTCATATTATTTGTGGTTGTAATGTGTGTGATCTTGGAGGCTTGTTTATTTAATGATTTTGAATAAAATTGCTTTTGATGGTGCTTGTTGCTGGAATTACTTTAGAGAGAAAGCTCAGAGTTGCCTGTCAAAATAAAGCTCTGACGCTTATTGCCATAGGTGACAAAGACAGAAGAAATCCAATAGTGCTCTAAATTCTTTGTACACATCGAGCTATTGTCCTGTAAACAATATGCTTGTATAGTATGTCAGGCAAAAACAAAACAATGTTTTTTAAAAAGACAAAAAATATAACACCTTGAAGACTAACTGCATTATTTTAATGTGAACTCTTGTGGATAAATCCACTTCTTCAGACAGAAGAATGGGACTGCATGGCAGTTATTTACACACAGCCTCCAAACAAAGAGATTGATTGTTTCCTGGGCACAAGTAGCTGATGATGTGGCATTTAATACCTGGTAACAACCATTAAGCCCCCTGCTGATATTCAGTTCCCCTTCCAGGAAGCATTGTTCAGGAAACAATTATAGTGATTGGTGCCTTAATTAATCCCAGGCTATAGATAACAAAGGGGAACAACATAATAGTGAGTATCATAATCTGATGCAGTTTATGAGGTGGCACTGGGTAGTTAGTAAAGAAATATAGGCGGGAATTATGGCAGATGCAACATTTGGTAATGACCTAAGAATCCTTGGATTATTTTGAGTTCACTGAGATGGTTGTATTGAGTCTATTGTCATAGACAATGGGAATAACATGCTTGCTACAGTGGCAAAAGGGTATTTTATGGTCATGCAATGCATCACCCACACTCTTCATTTTGTGATCAAGGAAGTCTTTCTGCCACCTGAGAAGCTCACCCATGACCATGAAACAAGGGAGCTTCACACCTTTCTCAAGAGCTGAAAGAAGGCCACAGGCTACTTTTCGTGCAGCATAAGGAAGCAGATAAAGTTGCATGCCTCCGAGCATCACCATCTAGCAGAAAGCCTCCTCCCACCTAGGCCTACTCGAATCACTCGTTCTAACCAGGATGGGCAGCTGAGGGGCCTAATGGCAAGGGAGGCCCAGAGAGAAAGAACAAGAAACTGGGCCTTCTCGGCAGTGGTCCCTCACCTCTGGAATAGTCTACCTGCAGAAATCTGCCTGGCTCCCTCGCTGGGTGTTTTTAAGAGCAAACTTAAAGCTTAGCTCTTTAGACAGTCCTTCCCTCCTGTTATCACCGAATCTATTCTCTGCTGCCTTGAATTAAGTTTGTTTTTATTTTAAATTGCTTTTATGTTTATGTATTGTTGTTAGCCACCCAGAGTAGACTTCGGCCAAGATGGGGTGGTGTTAATTAATTAGTGGGGAGGGAGCTAGTGCCAAGCAAGAAGGAAACAGGCCTGCTGTGGCCACTGATAATTACAATGAGTTGATGAAGGTGATTAATGTGATAATATAAGCTATTGCCACCTATATAACTCTGATTTTTCTTTCTCTTCTGTAGTGTTGCCCAATGACAATACTGTAATGGTGATGAATATGATACTATAAACTAGTGCCTGTATAAGTCTATTGGTCTTTCTTGTGTACTCTTGCTTGTAAGGCCTGCCAAGATTTTGGATTAGCAATCAGCCTGAAGAAAACACAAGACATGGGCCGGGGTATGAACTCACCTCCCTCTATTAACTATCTCTACACAAGGATTGGAGGTTGTTCATGATTTCATCTACCTTGGCTCAACGATCTCTGACTCTCTAGATGTTGAGCTGGATAAACACAT